TTATTAGTAGACCTTGACCTAGATAATGTTACCATTGGAAACTTTAACTCTGTTCTTTACGGTTATTACTCGTGGGCGAGCAATAAACTATGACCCGGATTCTCCAAGGAGCTTCAAAAGCATTTGTTTGAAATGTAACACAGCCAGGTTTTTAGACCAAGAAATTAGCTGCTGCGTGTGATTTAAATAGCTACTTTTATATACTTTATATATTTATATATACTTTATATATTATTTACTGCTAGCATTGTGTATAGCTCACTAGGCTCTTCTAGTTTGAGCACTCTGGCATGGCTTAGACGATACCACAAGTGTAGGATCATTTGGGGATCCATATAAGTTCTCCCCCATCCTAGCATCAGCACTGCACTGATGAGGCCCAAAAGGCTGAAACAGTACTGTCTGCAGTTATATATTATTTATATACTTTTAAATACTTTTATTTTCTGGGTCCGTAGTAATTGGCTTCAGCTGTTGCGGTGTCCCTTCCCAAATTTTAAAGTTACTATTAGTGTATTGTTACGTTCTTATTACTAGGTTTGTATATCTTCAGTTTTTTTTTCTTTTTTTTTTTGTATTCTTCATGGCAAAGCTAATAAAATAAAAAATAAATAAAATAAAACTACCAAATTCACGAATTTGATTGGCTGAAATCAATATTGAAAGCGGTCTAGATTTTCCCATCTAGACCGACATCTAAGACAAGTCTAGAGAAAAGAGTTATAAAGAATAATCTATGTTCCGTTGCTTTTTAGACACAGCCATATAATAAACATCTTACTAACCAAGCTAGGTTGGTCTGTATGGGAGAATTTTGATTTTGGTCGCTGGTACAGACCTCACTGCATTCGGTCTGTACTGGCAACCTCGGTCAAGATTCTCCCATACAGACCTCCTGCTCGGTTAATAAGAGCTAAAAAGTACTTTAATTCTGACTCCTATTGTACTTAAAATGTAGTTTTGCACTTGGTATGAAGACCGTTTTGATCTCAGATGGTAAAAAATACATCAAAAATAGTTAAACTTTCTTGAAGTGAAGAGAATTATTCATATTTTTTGGTTTATATCTACAAAAGGCTTTTAACTGCTACCAAAAAAGTTTTTCACTTGTTAAACTGTCTGTTCGGTTTGTGAATTATGAACCTAAATGGTCCAAATCATGACTTGTAAGGACATAAAAACTACCCTTCTACACTGTAATAACCAGGCAGTGTTTTATTTCTATGAAAGAGAAAATTCGCCAACTTCCCCACTCACCACTCCCTCAAAACAAAAATCGCCCACGTCACACCACCCAACAGCCATACAGGTGTGAACCTCACTAATTAACCCAAGAAAATACTTTGAAAAATTCAATAAAAATACATTTCGCGAAAAAACGCTTGAAAAAAGACGATATTAGAGCAGCAGTTGACAAAAAAATACGTTGCTTTTAATTAAACGGCGCCATCAGGCAAAATCAAACCATGCGACGCAACACACGTCACTGCGGTCTTTTACGTACGTTACTCACCTCTTTGCTTCCTTTCCCTTTAACTTGCTAAAGTTACCATTCTCTCAGTCAATCTTTGTGAAAAATCAGGCGCGTGATTTTGCTCCGTGCGGCAAAATGGGAAAGGAAAAGAAAATTTCAATCGATCCGTTCAAAGTTAATCAATGACGCTGTCAAACGATTTTCGACGATTTCTGAATGACACTCCTAAAGGCGCCAGCACTAAGTAGTATCAGCGGAATCAAAAATCTAAATTCAAATCATTTAAGAGTACATCAATTGTCTTTACTCCTCGAACGATCGTAGCGTAGAGCTCGAGTCTGGAGACGAGAGAATAGGTGCGGTATAATTAGGTTTATTATCTCTTTTCTGATCCCTTTAGCTTGGTTTTTAAAAACTGAATTAAGATTCAAACATTGCCTGGACTCACACATGTGCGAGAATCAGTGTTGGACTTCAATACTGAACCTAGACCCGGGGATGAGGAATATGGGAGAAAAAAAGGAAGTGACGCGATCATGGGAAAAAGAGATATTGAACGCAGGAAAGGGAAACGTGGAAATATAAAGATCGGAGATTTAGACCACAGCAGTGAGCAAAGAATTAGCCCATCCAAAAGGAAGAAAAGGTGTCTGTATTTCTTATTTTTTTAACTCGTCAACTTTATATCGGTAAACCGCCATGAATTGCACTAAGTGGCTTTGGGTGAACTAAAAAAAAAAAAAAAAAAAAAAAAAAAAAAAAAAAAAAAAAACTCTTCGGATAAATTAGTTAATTCACGCATCTCCTTTTCCTGTGACATATGAGGACGATCACTCCAGAGTTTCGTTTTGCTATCAGCACGAGGGAAGTTCAAGCGAGAGCGCGCAAAATCCAACATCTACCCGCTGTGACGAATTATCGTGCATATTATATTGTGCATTATCAAATACCCCTATCACCTCTGTGATAGAATAATTATAACTGTGTATATAGGTTGATGATCTTGGCATTAAATTCAGTTCTTTGGTTTCTGCTTGATCCAATGTAGTTGTCCGTTGTCATAGCGCTCGTTACACTGCCTTCACCACAAGAACTGTTAGAGAAATTAGATGCTTATCACTCTCAGGGGTCAAAGGTCAAAGGTGAGCTGATTGAAGCACAGTTACACCTATTCTAAACCTTTTACATGCTAGGAAGCAACCTAGATCCTTTTTCCCGCTTTAGAAAGACAAAAATAATCAGAAAACAGAATTGCATCTCTATCGTCCTATACGAGCTGCGCCCCTTTTTATTTCTTCCTGAGGAGTAGTAAATATATAGAGGTGGTCTGGGGACGAAACAGTGGTTTTGACACAGGGTTCGGTTGATTCGAACTTTTTCGAGAAACAATAAAAGTAAATGCGAGATTTTCAAAGTAACATAGTCACGAGAATCGTACGCAACTCACATTTGTAGAATATCACCCTAAAAGCTTATGGACGTCATGTCATGGCCGATAATTCAATGGCTCATTTCAATACATTCCCGTTAATTGTATAAAAGTGCATCAGCAACAGTTTCGCAGTAGATTTTTGCAATTAATTGATAGATTTATCGAGATACTTATAATAATAAAGCCACAGAATTGAAAACAGTGTAGGCATTGTTCTGTAAATATGGTAATATAGTGTACTGTGTGAAGGTGTAGTCTGATCGTCCGGGTGAGTGTAGTCCTGAGAAGGACTGTTGTCGGTGGCAGTGACTGACGTTTCGACAACCTGTGCGGAAGTCACTGCCACCGACAACAGTCCTTCTCAGGACTACACTCACCCGGACGATCAGACTACACCTTCACATGTTACCCCCGGGTTCAAACCATTTACTGCATAGTGTACTGTATGTGGAATAAATATTGTATGCGTTGTTTTTCTTCTAAAAGTAAAAAAACAAACAAATAAATGAACGGATAAGCGAGAGAATAAAAAAGAACAACAACAGAGGTTAGGTTTCTTGATTATCTTAAAGCAGAATTTATTCGTTGTTAACTGTCATGAAACACAAACTTGCGTGTGAAAAATAGTCCACACCAAATTTTTAAACTGTTTATTTCTTCCGCATTAGTAAGGCATTTTGAATTTTCAAGCCAGAATAACTAAGTTGTGAGAAAAGAAAACAAAGAGATATACCAAAAACGAGAATTGGCAGAGACATCACTTTGCACCAATTAACATCAAAGATAAAAAGCTGCGAAACTTAAGCAAGAAGTTTTACCAAAACAAAAACCCTCTCACAGAACTTTCAACTCCTTCCTTTTTCAAGAGCAAAATTTTCCTATGCAACGCCCTCGCTCTTTGCGTTCATAAGATTAAAAATATTAAATTCAATACAATGGAGAGTTCAAGGGCCAAGGTTCGAGTGCATACAATTTAGTCTCACAAGTAAACCTTCTGCGTTGAGAAAATTAATAAAAAAAAAAAAGTTTTTCCGCGTGGTTTGAGTTGTTCTCCATAGCTTTTCTTTCTAATAGACGAGAACAAATACCTTCACCGTGTTTTTACGAAGAACAACTACAACAACGACTTCATCCGACGAAACACTCACCGACCCACTACCACTACCGAAACAAACGACACCGCAACCCCTACGACTACAGCAACCATACCGTACATAAAAGGCATGTCTGAAAACATCTCGCGCATCTTACTACCCTTCAATATCCGCGTCGCCCACAAACCCATCACCACACTACGTCAGTTACTAACCAACGTTAAAGACAAAGACGAACCGAGGAACAGACAGGGAACGATTTATAAGATCAATTGTTCCGACTGCCAAGCCTCCTACATCGGTGAGACTGG